ATATATTCAGAGATGAAGGGAGAGGGAGAGAGAGAGAGAGAGAAACATCAATGATGAGAGAGACTCATTGATCACCTGCCTCCTGCCTACCCCACACTGGGGATCGAGCCTGCAACCTGGGCATGTGCCCTGACCAGGAATTGAACCCTGACCTCCTGGTTCATAGGTTGACGCTCAACCACTGACCCACACCACTTGGGCCCCAAATTTTAAATATAGTTAGAACTACCCAACTCATGTGCTATGTGCATTAATAACTACTCATCTAGACCTCAGAAAGGCTCTGACCTTTCATCCTGCGGGATTTAGTGTCTTGTGCAAGGATGTCCAGGGCTTTTTGAACCAGATTCTGTCATTCAGCATATTCAATCTCCCTCAACTTCATGGCCTCCAAATATTTTGATGAAAAGACTCTCATTTTATTTCTCATTTACATGTTTTATGAGAAGACTCTCAACCAAGTTGAGATGTCCTTGGCTCTGTTCTCAGGATGGCTAGTCCAAGACAGGAATGGCTATCCAGGAACTATCCTAAAGTTGAAGCTGTCACCTATTTGGTAGAACATAATACAAAAAAAACCCAAACAAACAGATTTTATAGTAAGTGTCCTACTCCCTCCCTGACTTTCCTTGACTCCAAGGGGAAACTGTATATAAGGAGCTAACAGATGATCTGTCAGTGCCCTCATTTTTTAAACACGAATCAGCTAGTCATATGGTTGCTGTATGTGAGAGATTGACTTTCCCCAGATTATTATAATAGGCTGATATAGCCTAAGTGGGTGTTTCATAGAAACAAATTTGAGTCACTGTGGTGAATATGGTTTATGGAATGGCTGCCTCCAAGGATAATCAGTGGAGAGCTTGAACTATAAGCTGGTTTTACAGAGGAAGAATCAAGAACCAGGTGGTGGAGATTCAATGACATGGGTTTGAGGATCCCTCTCTACCGTAAGAGATGTATAGGTCGAATAAAACCAAACTCCTCATGTTGCTTTTTTTTTCTGGCCAGTTTCTACTTCTGCCCTGGCTCTGATTTTCAGGTGGACACCCCAGGGTGCTAACTACCTGAGCTCCTGATGGGACCTCGGCTGGGAGGTGTGGCTGGTGTGCTGAGCCTGTATTGTCATAACGCTGGTGAACCAGATACAGCACTTTTTTTTGGAGAAGTCCTTAGCCTCTTCTTCTGTCACAGAAAGATGAGAGAACAAAAGCAGATATCAAGTTGCTGTGGGGGCAGAGGCCCTAGAGAGCCTCATCATGGAGTCTGAAAAAACCTCGAAGAGTTCCATATGACCTCCTGTTTTGGGAAAAGGTTGTCCCTTAGGAGCTCTGATAAGTGAAGCCTACTGATGACTCAGTAGAGATAATTTTTATTTATATTAATTTAGTATATATTTTTCTTCATGGTGTGTGTGTGTGTTCCTTGATAAGCTTAAAATTATGTTTCAAAATGCCTCATGATTTCTTCTAGTATATTAACAGTTTAATTTTTATATTGAGGTTTTCATCCAAATGAAAATTGCTTTGGTTTAATGTAGTATTAACTTTCTCCTTTCTTTGCCCAGAAATTAACGAGCTGACTTATATGATTTTTATTATTATAGTACAAACATTTTTAGTCTGTACTGAGTTTCTTTAGGCTGTTAGGTCTATTCTGGAGTCTATTCAGTGGCACACCCCGCTATGTGAATATCCCTGGGTTGGGGGGTCTTTAATGTGATTCTCAGTGTCTTAGATGGAGGGCCCTCAGGGGCAGACCCCAACACGAGTTTCAAATAAAATAGTCTGTTAGGAAGATCATCCTAAAAGGCACTGCAGGGAACCTGGGAAGTGATCTGGGGAAGGGACGGAGGCCAGTGTAGGATGATGGGCAGCTGGGCGTCACTCCACCAAGGACCTGTAGAGAGTGGTGCTCCTTGCCCCGACCTGAGAGGAAAGAGCTAGAGTATGTACCCACTGCACCCATCACTGGCCGAGCACTGCTCCTACACACTTGGACCCCCGGCCTGCCTAGAGCTGGCTCCTTCATCTGGAGAAAGCCCACAGGCCAACAGATCAAAGTGTTTGCTGTAAGAAACCACCTTCCTATATTAAAACAAGGATGCTGAGGGCATAGAGGGGGGGCATCCTGAAATCACCTGCTGTCCTCTGCTCTCTGCAGAGAGAACAACAGAACAATTGACAGCTAAGGATGGCAAGTCAAGAGGAAAAATGATCAGACACAATACTCTTATATTTGTATGCCTGGGAAATTCAGATTTATTTAAGATTTAGGGGCATCTCCATATGAGAAAAGATGGCCGGGAAGAAATATATCAATTGGGATGACATGTTGGTTGAAAGATTTCAGACAAAATTCAAACTTTGTGTTCATTTGGGAGACAGATAGTAACATGGTGGGGTGGGGGCAAGAAGGAGGGGAGGAGGCTGTGTGTTTGGAGGCCAAAGTCAGTTTAAGAATCAGTTGAAACAGGTTTTACAATTGGCCTCTCATGACTCAGTTCAGTTAAACTACATCAAGAGGATTGGCTGACGAAAACCAGTGGGCACAGGTCAGGGCAGTCAGCAGACTGGGCGGCAGCAAGTGGTCTGGCAGCAGGTGGGGCGGCAACAGCTAGAGATGCAGCAGGTAGGCCTGCAGCAGCTGGAACCACAGCGGGGGCGGCAGCAGCTGGAGCCACAGGAGGAGCCACAGCAGGAGGGGCGGCAGCAGCTGGAGCCCCAGGAGGAGCCACAGCAGGAGGGGCGGCAGCAGCTGGAGCCCCAGGAGGAGCCACAGCAGGAGGGGCGGCAGCAGCTGGAGCCCCAGGAGGAGCCACAGCAGGAGGGGCGGCAGCAGCTGGAGCCCCAGGAGGAGCCACAGCAGGAGGGGCGGCAGCAGCTGGACACACAGCAGCTGGGGCGGCAGCAGGTGGTTCTGCAGCAAGTGGTCTGGCAGCAGGTGGGGCGGCAACAGCTAGAGATGCAGCAGGTAGGCCTGCAGCAGCTGGAACCACAGCAGGGGCGGCAGCAGCTGGAGCCACAAGGTCCCCTTTTATACCCTGCTAAGGGCTGCTGTCATCAGAAGCTGTGCTCTTTCCTTGTCCTGTTTGTCCTAATTAACAGGTGATTAGGAAATTAGCCAGGTTTGTTTTCCTGGCTGACCTTTTCAAGATGGATGGAAAACATTGTTTCCTGTTCCTGATGGGTTAGGATTCCTCACTTCAGCTCTTCCTGGATCATCTCTTATGTGTCTTTCTTGCTTCATCTTCTTTAAAGAAAGCTGTCATGTGATTTATGCATTTAGATCATGTATGTGTGTCTCATGTTGCACAGCCCAACATGTCTCCCTTTGGGTGATAATAAGCCACATTCCTTTTGGTGACTTAGGGGGATACAGCTGCATTTTAGTTTGATGTCTCATTCATTGTGGGGTCAGGTGGGCAGAGAAGTTTTGAATGTGAATCAGGGCATCGCTGGCATGAGAATAAGACTCTTAGGATATTTCCTCTCCCCACTGCTAATCAGGGACCATTTTCTAGATTTTCTGATGGGAAACGTTAGCATGAGATCTCTCTTAACAAGGTTTTATGTGCACTATAATGGGCTTTTGTTATAAACACAATATTGTACAGCAGATCTCTAAAACTTGTGTGTGTGGTTTTTTTTGTGTAACCGAAATGTTCTGTCCATTGAACAACTACCCCTTTCTTCCTCCTCTCACCTCTGGAAACCACCATTTTATTCTCTTCTATGAAAAAAATTGACTCTTTTAGATATCTCATGTAAGTGGATTCTTGCAGTATTTTTCCTTCTGTGACTGACTTATTTCCCTTAGCATAATGTCTTCCAGGTCCATCCATGCTATCACAAATAGCAGGATTTCCGTGTTTTTTTTTGTCTTTTGTTAATCCTCACCCCAGGATATTTTCCCATTGATTTTTAGGGAGAGTGGAACAGAGAGGGAAAGACAGAAAGAAACATTGATGTGAAAGAAATACGTTGATTGGTTACCTCCTGCATGAGCCTGACTAGGCCTGGGCCGGGGAGGACTCTGAAGCCAAGGTACCTGCCCTTGACCTGAATCGAACCCGGAACTCTTTGGTCCACAGGCCAATGATCTCTCCACTGAGCCAAACTGGCTAAGGCTGGCAGGATTTCCTTTTGAAAGGCTGAATAATAGACACTTTTATTACTGTATCAACATTGACATTCCGAGTATAATGACAATATTGGTTGGCAGTAGATGTGGACGTACAGCCTGTGAAACACTGTCTTTTTCATTACACACTCCTTCAGTCTTTCTTATAGATTTAAAGTGGATAGGCATAGACCAGCACTTCTCAATCTCTTCTACCGGATACCAGGAGTAACATGGCTTGTACTGATGATGGTACACCTGGGGAAGAGGTGCTGAGAGGGGATACAACGTTAAGTCAGTTCTCCCCCCAAATTTAAATATAGTCAGAGCTCCCCAACTCACGTGCCATGTGCTTTGATAACTACTCATCTAGATCTCAGAAAGGCTCTGACATTTCATCCTGTGGGATTTAGTGTCTTGTGCAAGTATGTCTACAGATTTTCGTATCATGATTTTGTCTTTCAGCATATTCAACCTCCCTTACCTTATGGTTTCCAAATATTTTGATGAAAAGACTCTCATTTTATGAGAAAATTCTCAACTAAGTTGAGATTTCTGTGGCTCTGTTCTCAAGATGTCTAGTTCAAGACAGGAATGGCTACCCAGAAACTATCCTGACGTTGAAACCGATGCCTATTTGGCAGAACATAATATAAAAACTGATTTTATAGTAACTGTCCTTCTTTTTCCCAGATTTCCTTGACTCCAAAGGGGAAATGTATATAAAGAGCCAACTGAACTGTCAGTGCCCCTCATTCTGAGAAACACTAGTCGGCTAGTCCAGTGGTCGGCAAACTCATTAGTCAACAGAACCAAATATCAACAGTACTTCTTCAAAATAGACTCGCCCAGGCCAAAAACCGACTTCTGCGCTGGGCCACGGAAGTTTCAATCGCACTGTATGTGCGCCTGCACGTGGTATCTTGTGGAAGAGCCACACTCAAGGGGCCAAAGAGCTGCATGTGGCTCACGAGAGCCGCAGTTTGCCGACCACGGGGCTAGTCGAATGGTTGCTGTATGTGAGGGATTGACATCTCCCCCGATTGCTGTAATGGGCTGATATCAGGTAAGTGGGTGTCTCAGAGAATCAACAAAGAGCCGCATGTGGCCTGCAAGCCGCAGTTTGCCGACCACGGGGCTAGTCGAATGGTTGCTGTATGTGAGGGGATTGACATCTCCCCCGATTGCTGTAATGGGCTGGTATCAGGTAAGTGGGTGTCTCAGAGAATCAAATTTGAGTCACCATGGTGAGTAAGGTTATGGAATGACGGCCTCTGTAGACAGTCAGGGGAGGGCTTGAATTGTAAGCTGGTGTTACAGAGAAGGAATGAAAATCCAGATAGAGGAGATGGGATGAAATGGGTTTGAGGATCCCTTTCTACCTTAAGCAGCTTAAACATCTCATAAGCCAAACTCCTTATGTTGCTTTTAAAATTCCTGGCCAGTTTCCACTTCTGCCCTGGCTCAAATTTCCAGGTGGACACAACCTGGATGATGACAATGTGGGCTCCTGATTGGACCTCTGCTGGGAGGTGGCTGGTGTGCTGAGCCTGCATTGTCATAACTCTGACGAACCCACACACAGCATTTTATTGGAAAGGTCCTGAGCCTCTTCTTCTGTCACAGAAAGATGAGGGAACAAACGCAGATTCAAGTTGTTGTGGGGTGAAGGCTATAGGGAGCCCTATTGTGGAATCTGAAGAAAATTCCAAGATTTCTATATGACCTGGAATTTGGGAAAAAGAATGTCTCCAGGAGTCCTTATGACAGACCTACTGATGACTCAGCTGCAGTCACATTTATTTATATTAATTGGCTATATTTTTTCCTTCGTGGTGTGTGTGTGTGTGTGTGTGTGTGTGTGTGTATGTGTGTATGTGTGTGTGTGTGTTGCTTTGTTGTTCTTGTTGCTTAGGATAAGCTTAACACTATGTTTGAAAATCCCTCCTGATTCCTTTTAGAACTTTAACAGTTTTGTTTTTATAATGAGTTTTCACTCTCTTGAAGTTTGTTTTGGTTTAATGAATGTAGTATCTCTCCTTCCTTTCCTTCTTTCTTTATCCAGTTAACTAGCCGACCTATACCATTTTAAAAATAATTCTTCCCTTACAGGGTGATTTTAAACTGCCACCTTTTTTGTACTTCATTCCTATCGGCTTTTGGGTCTATTTCAGGACTCTATTCAATCCAATTTTTATTTGAGAAATACAGAGGTTCTTGCAGATATGATATAAAATCTGAAAATTCTAGTCTGTTGCCTTGAAGTCAGAAACATATATGCGTTTTAAAAAAATTATGTTGTGTTAAATATAAGAGCACAACATAAAGATATACCCCTTAGAAAATTTTAAGTATACAAAACAGTATTGTCAGCCATAAGCAAAACTCATAGACCAGGGAAGGATTGGAGAATTTTGCCACTTCAGTGGCTTTTTGGGTGTGTTTTCCTTTTCTTTCTTTTCTTTTCTTTCTTTCTTTTTCCTTTTTTTTGTAATAGTACTTTAAATACAAAATTTCTCATGTACATTTTTCCACTTATGCCGTTTCTTTTCTTTTCTTTCCTTTTCTTTCTTTCTTTCTTTTTCCTTTTTTTGTAATAGTACTTTAAATAGAAAATTTCTCATGTACATTTTTCCACTTATGCCACTTTCTTAGTATCTTATTCACATTATTCATATTGATGTGAATTTGTTGTTTCAATGAATGATTTTCAAACCTTTTAAAAAATACTTTCTTGTCTGGAAGCTCACTGTATTTGTATAAATCAGGGAAAATGGAGCCACTCCAGGTGGAGGGAGATGGCACAGCTCCCAGTCCACAGGCTAGCAACATATGAGACAATGTTTTTCCAATACTTTTTGAATAAAGACTGCCTTCATAAAAATATAAACGTTATGCTTTCATTCACTCCTCTCCTCACTTTTGTCTTGTCTTATGTGTCTGTGAGCTGGACATTCCCCTGAATTTTCAGACTGGACACATTTTTTTTAGGAATCAATCCTTATATATTATCTTCTCCAATAGAATAGAATCCTCTTTCTCACCATTATTACCAACATACTCTACTTAACATATGTTTTTCTATTAAATCCAAGATTTCATTGTGAGTTACCTGAGGGATGGGAACTGGGTCTCATTCAACTTATAAGCTTCCCGGAGCCCAGTAGCACAAGGACCTTGCTAAGTGGTTCATAATTCAGTTTAGTAAAAAGGATGTTCTTGTCTTCTCTCAATAAACTTGCTGGCAGACAATGTGGGCAATCTGGCTGGAGAAAGACTAATTATTTGGCATTTTCTTTGATACTAGTGGCCTGGTGCACGAATTCGTGCACATTGAAGGAGATTAATTAAAAGAAATATTTTAATACCACTATTCGCCCTTTCTCTATAATAGAAGTGTCAACCAAATTCACGATCGACAGTGACAGATCAAAACACATGCATGCGATTGGCGCCAACGAGAGCTTTATATGTATCGCACATGTGTGAGTCAACTTAGCCTTTTATATATATAGAATAAACTTGCTT